TTACTATGGCTAATTAAGACGCCATTAGATAGGCAGATGCGAGAGATTAAGACTCGCGAAAGAATAGGACGAGAGGAGGCAAGCGAGGAGGAAAGAAGCAGAGAAAGGGCCCGAAACGAAGGTGAAGAAACGCGCATTGGAACTGTCGGGTAAAGCCGCGGCGAGACGGAGAGAGGTGGGAAGGAGGCAGACGAAAGAAAATCACGCGTGGTTCGTCATAAGAGGAATTCCTTTGGCAATACTGGAACCTCTTTCTCTCCTGCTCTCTCCTCTCTTTCTCTCTTGCGTCTTTCTTCTTCTTTCCTCCTCGCTCCGTCCATCTCGCCCGTCTCCCCTGGCCCAGAGACCCTGTGCTTTTTTACTGGTTTATGGGATTTTTTTCACGCGGACCGCCGAGTCGTACATCAGAGAGGGCTGACTGTGAATCTCCTCTTTTCTCTCTTCCTCCGATACGCTCGTTTCGTCGAGAAAGCAGGCGAAAGAAAGAAAGAATGAGAGAGATAGAGAAAAGGAGAAAGAGAGTGGGAAAGAGTATAAGCGGGGAAAGGGGGGAAACAATAAAAAAGAGCAAATGCCAGCCGCCATAAAAACAACTGAAAGTATTAAAAACTTTAAACCTTTTACTGCCGAGCTGCCTCGGAGAAGCACGGTCGGACATATACGCGAGAAGTCAACGACGACGACGACGACGATGATGACGATCACGATGCACCGAGATGTTTCGCGCGGCGATGATATTCGCGCAATTAAAATTATTAAACGTTCAAGTTTAACGTTAAACGTGCGCGTGCACAAGTAGTAAAATTATCGGTGTTTAATTAAGTCGATTACTTTCCAGTCGGATTACTTCGACTCGGCGTGAGGCACGAGTTTACGTTCCTTTTTATATGTTTTAATTAGAGACAAACTGTCAACCTAGTTATTTATATTAAGTATAGGTGAACATACGTATTTTAAAGTATTACTCCATACGGCGATATCGTCGTAATTAACACTATACCGTGTATCTGCATCACAGATAACAAAGCCACGTGCGAGTAAAATTGAATATATTACTTCGCGCGCGAGTGTGAGCGTTATTAAAAGCACAGAAGATTATATCGTACCCCGCGTTTTCATCGACATATCACGCGTCACGTCTTCGAGTTTCGCTGCCACACCACGGGCGCGTGGTCTTAATTAGCATCGTATATATATTTATATCAGATAAACGAGATAAAAATCTACGCGCAATTAAACGCTTAAAAAATTTGACACTATATTCGCGCGAGTGTACTTAACAGCCGATGACTGAAGGCTTCGCACATAATTAACAAAATTAGCATACATAGTTGCAGTCGACGATGATGTGAACAATAAAAAGAGGTAAGGGAGGAGGTGTAGAAATAAGTTCGAGTTTTGAGCAGAAATATTGTAAACAAAAGCAGATGATAATCTGCGCGCGGCGGCGGCGGCGGCGGCGGTGGCGGCGGCGGCGCGACGACGCGGCGAACCGTGGAAGAAAAAGAAGAGACGGAGGGCCGAGGCAGGAGGACGGCCGACCCTCGTAAAATTATCGTACTTTAATAAAACGTGTCGTGCAAAACGCGAGGATAACGAGAAAATATAGGGTTCGAAAGACTCGTGAAATTTATAGAGCGATCCGTACCGCGCGCCGCGCCGGAGGAGGAATCGCTTTTTGGTGAGTCGCGCCGTTCGGTCGGGCTCTCATCCCGAGAGTCTTTGGCCCGTTCTCGGCTATGCAGCCACAATAAGATCCCGAATAAATCAGCTGGATGTTTCGTGTTCCCGAGCGGACTCGGTAGCTCGGCGCGGATAAAGATTCGTCGCGCCTTTAAAAGAGAGACTTTAAGCGATTCCCGTGGGGAAACTCTCGCGCGCGGCGAAAAGTCGGGGAAGTTCGAATGCGGCAACAGGTGTCCCATGGAATTAATGCATTGCGGTCCAAGTTGGAAGTCGTGTTCAAGGAAATGCCGAGAAAAATCACGCATTCGAGAGAAATTGAAATCTCTTGACGGACGAAAATCTTTTGGATCAACGACTATATTTCCGATACCATAAAAACAGATGTCATATTGATAAATATTTAATTAAATTCTTTCCCGATATTATAGCCCGCATACGGTCGGTCGGTACGTCTCAATAATCCGTGAATAATCAATGAACGCCCCAGCGCCTCGGCTACAGCACAGAAAACCATGCATGGTATAATACGTTCGATTGGAATCGCATATACAATGGTACATAAGCAATTTGCTGTGATTGAAAACAAGTTAAAACATTTTTCTCTTCGACTTGCACTTTACACATTAATTTTCCAGACGAGACGAATGCGAACTCAGTGATTTTCTCGCGCGGATTGCGTCTCGTCGCGTAACGCAAGCAGCCTCAGCGCAGTTTCATTTTCGGCACAAAGCAAAATCTCTTAGTTCAAACAGGCGGCTAATTTAGCAAATTAAGATAGCGACGACAAGGAAAAGTGGCGAGCGAGAGAAAGAGAGAGAGAGAGGGAAGCGCAGGGCGCGGTGAGCACCAGTTTAGTAGCGAGTGTGCTGTAAATTCTCGATTCTTTAATCTCGGTAAACCTTCACGGCGTTCCTATCGTTCCTAACCGTCCCTCCGCCCCGGAGGGACCTGACCCGCGGTCTAGCGAAAGATCGCGGTGCTCCTCGAGGGCGTCTTGCGCACACACACGTATATACACGTCCGCACTCCGCACGCATACGCTCGCGCGCACACACGGCGCGTCGGGGGAGCCTCCGAGCAGTAAATCTCGCGGACAAACAATCATAATTTTCGAAGAGCTAACAAAAAGCAAGAGACTCTTTAAAGGGAGCCGATGCCAGGCAACATGAAATGCGGCCGCCTCCGCTTCTCCAATTGTTTCGTGGTTTTCTTCCCCTTCCTCTATCTCTCTCCTCGAGCTCTCCCCCATTTTGCGTTTCTTCGTTCAACTCGACCCTTTTCTTCTCTTCCTCTCTTTCCACCGTTTCTGTACCCTACAACGTATATCAACGTATACACGATTCCCCGGGTTTGTCCTCTGTCCTCTCCTCTCTTCCTCCTCCTCCTCCTCCTCCTCCTCTTTCACCTTCTTCTTCTTCCTTCCAATTCCTATTCCGCCTTTCCTGATTTCTTCATTTCTTCCTTGCGGCATCCTACTCCCTTCATTACGTCTGCCACATCTTCTTGGTTTTTTTGTCTCGTTTTTGTGCGCTCCCCTCTTGATTATGCGATCGATCCACGCACGATTCCCTCTCTCTCATCGTTTTATCTCGCGTGTTTCCTCGCTCTTTAACCTCTTGATTTATGAATTTCTTATGGATTTCTTCTTGAAAATTTTTATTCTTTGGATGATATGTAAATTTATTCTTTTGTTCTTAAGATGTGCTGTTTCAATATTTTTTAAATATTACCATCGAAATAAAAATTTTAAAAAATCTTTGCCGCAAAGCGATTACAATGCTGTACAGCAGAAGCATAAAAAGACGCATAAAATATTACATGTTTGATTAGCGTTTACGTATGGCAAGATAATAACGTTAATCACACTGTAAATAAAAGTGTTGCGGTAGGATGCGCTAACAGATCAAAAGTAGTGAGTATATTATATTTTTATTGCGATAGCTAGATCGGAACGTTCATGACACACATTTATGGAACAGCGTAAGGCTGCGATGAAAATGAGATGCTGTATATAGAATAGACCTAGAGAAACGGCGGTAATTTTCTCGCTAGAAAAAAGTAAAAATAGAAAAAAGGAAGTGACATAATCTCGAGAACCTTCCTGTCGGGAGATCGAGGGCAAATTCCGGCAGGAAGGTCGATGTACCACGTCGGGATGATAATTTTTTTCGAGTCGCGACTGTGTTATCCGACTACGGACGATTTAAACGTCGACTGTATCCTTGTACTGTTGTACCTTACGCCAAACAGTAAGGATACAGTTTTACGGAAGAGAAAATCGAAAGTCGAATCACAATAATGTAATGGGAGGAAAACGGTGTCAATATTGAAACAGTTTGTCGTGCGGTAATACTTTCTGCCTAATCTAATCGATCCGCATTCGAATGTGAAACTTCGCGTTGAGTGAACTCGCGCTGGCACGCCCGGCGAGTTTTCCAAACGGGATTTTTATGCGGCAAACTTAGCGAAATCGTCAGGAACAATTCGACGAGCTAATTTCGTTCTCTCGCGACGCGCTTCAGAAAGCTCGCGCGGAAAGCTCGCGGTGCTCAATCGGGGCAAGGAAGCTGCCAACTTCTTTAGAGAAACGTCGCGTAACAACCCATCACTCTGCTGCGCGGCATAATTTAAGTACATTGTCGCTAACGTTGTTTCGGCCAAGAAAAGTTTATGGATGACGCTTATTGGCTATAAGCTACATAAATAAATGGCAGGAATGCGGAAAATAGCGAGGAGATCGAGCTGAAATGTTCACGCTGGTAGAAACACAACTCCGTTCATTTGTTTCAACGTGGAGTAAGACGATGCGAAGTGGCAACTATGGTTAATATATACAGTTTCGCGAGAAACAAACTGCTGATTCGTTAAAAATTTTTTAAATAATTCAACGTACGTATGCTTTAGTGATACTTTTAAGCATGAATTATTTAAGAAAAAACATAAAAAGGAATTTAAGAAAGATCAATTATTATCTAAAAGATTAAATAGAAATTAGAAATAGAAGTTAACACACTTTCCTCTCTTCTGTCTCTGTCCCTCTTTAATTTAGTAAATGAAGAAATTAATTACACACTTCAAATTTTTAAATTTTAAGAATAATTTTACGTAAACGATAAATACTACTGTAATGTATTTCTAACAGAATATGGGTATATTGAATAAAGGAAATTTTCTTTTTCTTTATAGAAAATTATTTCGGAACTTTACACATCAGAATTTTCCAGCAGTTTTTCCCACTCCTCGAATTAATGGCTTAAGGCTAATGCAGTAAGACATCGATCGATCGCTTGTAAGAACCGGAAACAAAACTTTACCTCTTGCTCTCTAATTGATATCTCTGTTCCTGCCGCGTATCACTCCCGTCCACATCACCATAGTTCTGACGTGCGTTTCGGCGACGAGATTCGCGAACCAGTCGCGATAATACTATCCACACTAATTCACCCCCGGCTATTCGGCTCCAGTCCGTTCACTTTGGAAAAACGTGACAATTCAATGTCGCTCACGCACCAAACTCGCGGAATCTCTGGCGGAATCACTCACACCGATCCAGATTCGAGTCTTCGGGATTAATGTCGATCCTTGTCACGAGGCTTTCCGAGACGTCTTCGGGGAGTCCTGATTCGCGAGGAACACGAAGCACGCGCCAGCTTCTTCCTCTTCGAAATCTCCCACCGAGATCACTTCCACCCTCATCGAACACTTCCCGTGCTACCCTGAATGTGGACGTTGTCACTCGAGATCCTCGAATTCTGGGAAGCATTCAAGCGACCATGCGACATTCTCGATCGACTCCTCGTAATCTTCTGTCAGCCCGAATGATTGTCGATCCTCCCAACCAACCACCATTGATTTTTGTCCCGACGGCCAAATTTCATAGTGCACTATTTTGGATGTAATTTCTTGACTGGAGATTATCACAAACTTGAATTTAATTTATCTACTTCATCATGACGTGAGAGGAGGATCGTTCTCTCGCGAGGAGTCGAGAGGTGACAGTTATGTAGTAAGTGCTATTTACATCAATAAATATCAATTAGTACATAACAAATATATTTCGATAACTCGGTCCTGGAAAGGGTGTGTATGGCGACAACAGACATCGGTCAAACGGCACTGACGTAGACTTAATCAAGGTCCCCCTACTATTAAATATATGCACCAGAGTGACAAGTACGTCGTTTCCTGTGTCGATCCACGTTATCGCGATACTCCAAAACTGTCGTTTTGACGAATCCTCGGTTGTTTCGAGACGACACGCGCGGGTTCTCCACCCGTGAAACTCGGTACCCGTGTGTCTTCGATTCTCGAGGCTGTCTAAGCACCCGCGACGAAGAGGGAGGCACGCGCTCGCGCGCGCGCGCGCGCGCGCTCTCGATCGAGAGGGGGAAGAAGTGGGGGTGGTCTTCAGAACTCCACGTCTGAAGAGGGCGGTTCGTTTCGCGTTCTTCCTCAAGCTCGCGGAAATTCGCACGCCACGCGCTTCTACCACCACCCTCGACGTGGCAGACAAGGGTCGCCACCCTCGCAATGATAACAACTGTTTCGTCGCCTCCAGAATCTTAGGGTGGTTCTCCAAGCGAGCCAAGAATATCAAGACAGGAGAGTGCGCGTGGCTCGACTGGCGCGAGATGACTGAACCCCTCCAAAGGGTGAGAGACAGAGACGGCGGAGAGGGGAGGAACACAGGGGGAAGGAGAGGGAACACGCTGTGTCTTTTCCCCTGGCCCCTCTTTCACCGGACAGAGAAAGACCGCGGACTTGGAGGGTCCCCCACCAATCTACCATCCATAGGTTGCCCCACCCCGTCGAGAGCAGTGACGCGTCGCATTCTCCCCGCCTTCGCCCGACGTTCCGCCGCCTCCCACCCCCGACGGTGCACGTTGCTGCCTCTTTCCCGTCGGCCCCCGACATCGTCGCGGTACCACCACACGGTTACGATGACGATGACGGGGGCAAAGAGACGGAGTTCTGCCACCGCCGAGCAACTCCTTCCTCTTCTTCCACTCCTTGGCTCCGCTGTCGCACGCATTCGTCCACCGGCTGGCGAACCGCACGCACCTCTCTGCACGTTGCCGCCGAGACGCGCCTGCACGCGCGTGTGGGTGGGTGGTCCCGTGAGGGTAGTTTCGTGAAAAATGTTAACCCTTTTGCTAACGAGCTGGTTAACAAACTTATCTCGGAATAGTAAGTAAATTATTTTCACATTGTCATAAAAGAACAATGTATGGCATGACGAGGTCAATTTGTCATAATTCTTAATAATTCTTCTAAATTAACTTTTGGTAATGAAAAAATTAGCTCAATGTATTTATCAATTTTCTTTTCGATATAACATAATTTTAAAGAATTTATTTTGATACCGTTATATAATTTAATCATTTATAAAATTTTTTTATACGTTTCGTGCTAGACAATGTTCAACGTCATGATTTCATTACATAAAAGCCTATAATACAGAAAGAGGCAAAACTGTTAACTCTATTACAATTAGCGAATAGCAAGGTACGAGTACAATTTTGGAATGCATTAATTTTCCACCCTTGTAGAATCACCCCGGCACGGGAAAGTTCTGTCGACCAATGACGTCATTCGAGTGCCCTCGAAGGACACTCCCACTTTTACCCCCGGCAAAGGTTTTTACGATGCCGTTGATGCTTATCGCCGATGCGTTTCGCAGGGGTGACGATTATTCGGGGTTTCTATGGATGTCGCTAATTGAGAGAAAACTAGAGATGCTAGGGCGTCGCAGAAATTGGATGCATTTAAAGGATATCGAAGCAGGACAAAATAATTTATTTTTTAAAAATAAAACTTTAAAAGCCGACATCTCAAAACTTTGAAGATAAATTTGTTATGCTTTAATTACAGCAAAGCAATTAGCATTATTAAATAATATAAACAAAGAGTCTATTTTCAATATTGTATTATTAACCATTGATTCGTTAAATAAAAAAATTGCTTTAATAAATTTTTTGAAGAAATAGTAAGAAAGTATTAGAAAAGACAGTTTATTATTTTTACAAGTTTTCTTCTTTTCTTCTCCGTACTTGTTATCATTCCCGTTATGTTTCTGATACGTCGCGACATTAATATCCCTTCCAACTTTTAGATTGACGTTTCCGAGCTATTTACATCGTGCGGGTAGCTTGTAACGGGGATTAAGAATGATTAAAGCTGAAAAGAGTCATGAACGAAAATGGGCCTGATTCACGTGATTATACCAATCCGTCGTGTGAACGTTCTTCTGCCTTTTGATTTCTTAACGCGCTCATTTATCACAATTATCGCTCTGTTCGTATTTGTATTCCTATATTTCTACTCTGTGCTGGTGTTCGTTACCAGTATTACGCATCTCGTCGATTTATGGAAATTCCGCGCAGATTACTCATTAGTAGATAAAATAACGCGTTATATTACTCTTCTTGTAAAGTAAAACGTTACCAACTGTATTCTATAATCTGTTGTTATTAACTATTTACACTATTATTTGCATAGAAAATTTAGTTACTAAAAATATTTATAAAGGATTTAATATTCAAAATTTATAATTAAATGTTTAGACATAAAATTAATTTTTCTAATTTTATACGCATGAAAAAGCCAAATCTAAATTTCGAAATAGGAAGACCGGTTACACCCGTATTACGAAACGACCCTATTTGGATCCTGGCAACAACCAGTTGATGATCAGGTAGTCGATTTTCGGAAAAATAGAATGTGGGAAAAATGTCGTGGCGTTCCCGTTAGGTCACGAAAGGGTTGAAGTGCAGGGACCCTTCGAAAATAGGTCAGAACGGTGACGCCGTTCTCCCTCGCTGCCACTCTTTCAGCGTTTTCTTAAAGGGTCCTCTTAATCCACCAATAAAATATCGTGTTTCCCCAGGTATCGAAAATACCTTGCGGGACCGCGTAGTGATTTTGCGTAATGTGCCAATGAATTTAACTCGTTCGCGCACGGCTTCCGAAAGGGGTTTCGATTTCCGTGAAAAGGGGTTTTACCGTTTCGAGAGGATCGTGTGAGAAAACTATTAGCGTAAAGAAACCCTTAAATAACGGAAGACGGCGCCGAGACCGCCCCGAGGGATGAATGGAAGAGCTATTTTCAATTTCAGGTCTAACCGGCATCCGGCTCCATTTGCTTCGTATTACTGTTCCAATAGATAAAAACATACGGATAAGACATGATGTGAGAGTAATAATTATCGAAGGGCAAAAATATATATAATTTGCTTACATTTTAACGGCAGATGCGTAGTGATTCAGTTAATCTTTGAATTGTAATTTAGACACCCATGTGTGATAATTTTATTAATAGAACTTTTTTTTGTCTTGACGATCAGTAAGGAAAGGATTTACGGAAACCTGAAGAATCCGGCAAGACAAACCAAAGTTGAATGCTCTCTCGGAGCACTCTCCCTAAAGTTTAAAAATACCGCTCACAGTCTCAGCCCTTCCAGTGAAAATATGAATTTTTTATCTCTCCCTCGCGGGCCATATGGTTGATGCGCGTCTCCCGAGGGTAGGAAGACAAAAAAGAGAGTCCGGGGAGTAGGGAGGCAGCACGGTCAAAAAAACCGGAGAAACTCCATAAGACGAATATTTTTAGAGTCGAATTTCCAAGGTAGTTTCCGTGGTTCCGTGCGCGAGGGACAGGAAAAGGAAAAGGGTTGTGGCGCTTCGTCTTTTTTACCGTGTACTCCGTCGTATCCTTTCCGCGTCTCGACATTCTTCTCACCGTGTCCCCCCTTATCCCACCCCTTCTCATTTTCGGGATTCCTAGATAAGCCAGATGTCATCTTGACAAATCTTTCTTAGCTGCCTGCTTCCTATCATCAGTTTCTTGTATCAAGTTTAAAAAGAATCGAGACGATTAAAAATTTGAAAATACAATGCACTTAATTAATGGGGAAGGAAGTCGATGATTAAAATCTAAAATCATAAAATATCGGCATGTTGATAGCCCATTTTTCTAAATGCAACAGACTTTCTCACGAGGACCAAGTGATGGACACTGGAGGAGTGTGTGTTTCGGACAGCGTGTAGAACAGCGTGTAAATCGGACGGAACGTCGCGACTGGATGTCGCGAGTGCGGCGCGTCTGGGATGCGTTTTGCAGTGGTGCGCGTGTCGTCCGGCTACGTATCTACGAGCGTTGTACTCGGAGCAATGCATCAGGCACAAGCGGCGTTCGTACTCGTCCGACATGGAATGTGGTCCGGTTCTCGAGAGTGTGCGCGGGCGCGCGCGCGGGTGCGGGCGCGCAAGCGGCGCGGCGCGGCGGAGAGCGCTGCGCTATAGTTCCCGTTTTTTATCGCTTCGTAATGCATTAGCCATAATAGCCGCACGCACTTAATGGACTGTAGCCTCGTTACAGTGCGCCACGTCGTGGGTGGATACGCTGCTCGTCTTCGTGCCTCGGCCGCGTGCTCGCTCCGCTGCTGTGCGTTGTCTCTCGCGCTCGCGTTGTCAATCTCCGCAGGCGCATCGACTCGCCAACCGATTTTTGTCCGCGTCATCTTTCCAAGAATTTGCGAAAAATTACGCAAGGTTCGTCCACATTTATATTTATTGGAACTCGTATACGTACGCGTTTGCAAAAGGTATGATAATTAATTTTCAAGTAAATTAAATCTTGCGTCAATAATGATCTATACAAAATTACTTAGTTTTTAAAAAAAGAAACAACTATTGTCAAGTACATAGTTTTATGGACATGCGCCCATCGTACAAAAAATTTAATAAAAACCAGCTTGTACTAATTTGTATAAGTGGTCAGTAACTTGTAATGTAAATATGATTATTGTACTTATAAATATGATTATTGTATTTGTATTTATATAAAAAATCAATTTTTTTAAGCAAATTAAATATCATAAAGATAGCGGTATTTCCTTGGTACAATTTGGAAATTTATAAATTCAGTTTTGTTCACGTCATTTGGTCAGGTTTCATACACTTAATATGTCTCTCGTATTTGGTGCAACGCGATCTCATATCCCGGCCTGTGCACATGCAATTTCGTCCGCTCTCGCAGTAAAACCATTACTCGCGTATTACCTTCCATCATTCATCAAAGCAATCATGCTCGCTATTCTCCTTAAACAAATGGAGAAATCCGCATCGGCGGTCACGATCGCATCGATCAATAATCACGCCTGCGAAAATCGCATCCCACGGTAGCGTATTATTTACCGACTTCGTCTCGGACGAAGGAGCATAGAGAACCAAATAACTTTCTCTATGAGACGTTGGGTATTGGCTTGATAACAGATAGAAATATGCTTTCGCAAACGGTATGTCAGCGACTGAAATTAAAATATAGTATCACGCAAAAAGCGATTCGATATAGTACGATCATGCTCTAGTCCCTTTCCCATTAATCACAGTTGTACTACTGCTCAAGTTCGAAGTATATACACACGCTCTTTCGAAATGTCACGGTCATCTCTTAGGTTCTGCTTTGGTATGCCTTTAGTTCGAAAAATGATGGAAAATAAATGCTCTTACGAGCTGCGTGACATCGGACTGTCACCAGACAAGCGTCTCCCGCGCTCATCGATCGTCATTCTGGAGATTCAGAAAACAATTTCGCGAAACCGGGTAACAA